AGCCCAGGCTGGTCTCAAACTCACAGCAATGCTCCTGCCTCAGCCTCCCAAGTGCTAGGATTACAGGTGTGCACCACCACACCTGGCTGTCCCATTACAATTTAGTTTAGTGCATGATGAAAGATATGGGTCCAATTTTAATTTTCAGCATGTACAGAGACAGTTTTGCCAGCACTGTTTATTAAAGAGTCTATCTTTCATCCAGTGAACATGTTTGGCCCCTCTGTCGAAGAAAACATGGCTGAGTGTGTATGGAGTTGTTTTTGCATCTTCTAATCTGCTCCACTGATCTTCAGATACATTTTCTTTTGCTAGTACCACACTGATTTTATCACAGTAACTTTACATTATAATTTCAAGTCAGGGATTGTGATGCCCCTGCCTTGCCTTTGTTGCCCAGAACTGCCTTTGCTATTCTAGGTCTCAATTCTAGGTTTTCAATGTAGGTCTCTGACATTCTTCATTACATTGATTCATAGGTATTGCATTTTTTTAGATGCTATTTTGTTTTGGTTTTTTGGTCTTTTTGAGACAGGGTTTTGCTATGTACTTCAGGCTGGCCTTGAACTCATTTTATAGCCCAGGTTGTCCTTGAACTCATAGCAATCCTCCTGCCTCCGCCTCCCGGGTACTAGGATTACAAGTGTGAGCCACCACACTTGGCTTGGATGCTATTTTGAAAGGTGTTGTTTCCCTAATTTCTCTCTCAGTGTGTTTGTCATTCATGGAAGGCTATTGATTTTTGAGTGTTGCTACTGAATTTGCTTATTAAATGTGGCAATCTTTTAGTGGAGTTTCTGGGGTCTTCATGTAGAGTATCATATCATTCACAGATAATGATAAATTAACTTCTTCCTTTCCTATCATTATTCCTCTTATTTTTTTCTCTTGTCTAATTGCTCTGGCTAATGTTTCCAGGACTATGTTGAATAAGAGTGGAGACAATGGACATCCTTGTCTTGTTCGTGATTTTAGATTGAAAGCTTTCAGTTTTTGTCCATTTAGTATGATGTTGGCTATAGGTTTCTCATAGATGGCTTTTATTAGACTGAGATAAAGAATATCTATTCCAGTTTTCCAT